AAAGTTTTTTTAAAAAAAAAAATTTTTTTAATGTTTTCTGAGAAACCACTAGCGCTCGAAATGTCACCTTTTATAATCGTAATGGTGGCCAATTTACCATTTCAACTTTGTTGATATATTCAAATTACTAAAGAATGGACAGTTGGTCGAGAAGGTGTTTCTTTTTCACACTGTTTAAAAAGATACACAGATTTTATTAAAAAGTTGGACCTGAAAATTTGACCTTGTTCATTTGTTTTGTCTTGTCTATAAAATTGGGCGATAGATATAGAATCGAATGGGGTATATTTAGTAAATAAACCCCTTCGGGTTGCTGGTATGTCAGCTGATAATGTCCGCAGCTGAGAGATTATCCGAAAAATGAATATTTGGCCGCGAAGCAAATATTCGCTCCGACGAAGGGCTAACGCTCGAAACGTCAGCTTTTGGAATCGTTACGGTGGCCAATTTACCACTTCAACTTTGTTGATATATCCAAATTATTTCGTTACTCCCACCAACGCAGCCCCAAACAGTTTCTTTCGAAACTATCAACCTTTATCTCCTTGGAAGAACCTTACTGCTAGACCGTCTGACTGAAGAATAATACCCTTCTTTTATTTTGATCATTCTTTATCTATCACAACTATTTTTTATTTCAGATCCAGTTTGGGCATCAGTCAACTTCTGTGTTTGTGTTTGCGCAAAATGCATTGGTAAGTTATCTCTACAGGGTTTATTACAAGCTGCGCAAGTTTTACAGTAAAGTGCTATGGGAGTATACCTAGAGATCTGTGAGATTAAAAAAAAATATTAAAAATAGCCAAGGACAAAAAAAATACATAATTTAGAGCCAAGTGGAAGCTATTGTTGATTATCCTTCCCAATATTTTCTACATTGTGCGGGATGTTTCCTATCAACAACGTTTATTTTTTCCATGGAATGTCGACTTCCTGTGATTGCGGCAAGACCTCATGAGCAAGGAAGTTAGTTAGTTAGTCTCTCCTTCTATAGCTAGAGCAGGTCGCTTTCCTTTCTGGAATTAATTCTAAGACTTTCATCGCATTCTACTTAACCCTCTAGCTCCCAGAAATGATTAACACGTAAGTTCTCCTTATAATATCCGTACATTATCCAGCAAACAGGTAACGAAGAAGACTCATACTCATCAGGTGAAAGTTGTTGTCTTGATCTAACACCAAATTCTCATAGCTAATTTATAAGAAATTGTGTAACAGTTAGAGGGGAGAATTGACAATCTGATCTTGACAGTTAAATGGGTAAAAGCTTCAAAATCGGGAAAGTTTTAGTCAAGGGATACTCCTTCGCGCGACGCGTTCAGACCAATCGCGCAGGATAGAAATTATTGAATAAGTTTTACTTTTATTATAAAAGGTGTTCATCGGAACCTAGGAGTTCATTGTTCTCGAGCGCGTTCTCTCCTCATGGACGAGAAGATCTGGAACCCAGCTCTTGTGAAGGCAAGTCCATATAAGGAGCATTGTATGTGTAGAATTTTGATAACAGGATGAACTTTCATCAAAGGTCGTGGTGTCTTATTAGAGAGACTTAGCACCCGTGTTTACGTGAAACGGCAAACGTCAGCTTGCCTTTTCACGTTTTACGTAAAATAGCGTGATCCTTGCTACTTTACCTTCGCGTGAGCTCACTTCATGGTGGATATGAAGGCGCCGCTGTATCATGCTCACAAGAAATAGATTTGGTGCGCTTTTTCTGGCAATTAACTTCCACTTTGTGTGGGAAACTGAGTGAAGACAATAGTTAGATTAAGCACCGTGAAAACGGCGAACGCTGAACGTCGGCTAGCCGTTTGTCGTTTGCCGTTCCGTCCGCGATGTTCGTCTGTTTAAGCTTTCCGACGACACGGCAGAACTAATGTCCTCGATCGCCATTCACGGCGACTAGAAGTAATGGATACAAAGAAGTAATGTATTTTCCGCTTGAATTTGAACTCTTTTAGCTTTAGAAGCAGTTCATATAGAAGTAAGATGATAAACGAAGCTTAGCTATAAAAGCAAGCGATCAAAATGAAGAAATATTCGGTAAAAATGGGCTGCAAATACTCACGTTTTCGCGTTCCCTACAAACGGGAAAAATGTCCTCCTCGAGTAGAAACGGCGACCGGCAAACGCAGGAAATGTCAGGTCACGTGACCCTCTGCCGTTCGCGGGAAAAAAATACGTGGTGCTTAATCTCTGTAATCTTACGTGCACGGCAAACGCGAAACAGGTTACTTTCACGAAGAATCGGCAAAGCGCAACCGGCATACGTGAAAAAATGGCGGGAAAAACAAGATCAGGTGGTCACTCTTGCCGTTAATGTCTCACATAAACGCAGGGCTAAATCTAACTAATGGATCTATTGGCGAGAAGTACTGTACATCGGTCTTCAATTGTGCGAATGTTGCATAGACGTCGTGCCACCTCGAGACTATGATTACTCATTTTCAAAAGTTTTATTTACATGAAATGGAATTTTTATGAAATGCGATTAAATATCACTGATTCCGCCTCACTTCGTTACACTCACATTTTTTAAGAGTTTGTCTATGCTGGCTATTAAATGATATGTGCCTTCAATACGAGTCAATTACTTTTTTTCATCTGACGATTCTCTTCAGAAGCTTACCGTGTTTCAACTTTCATCCTAACACAGCTGATGATTAAAAATGGAAACGATAATGCCAATAAACTTCTTGAACACAAGTTACCTGAAGACGACAAAATAGCACCAGAGGCGGATGTGTAAGTATTACTTAAAGTCTCAGAAATTATGACGTTAGTTCGAAGAGTTTGGTAGAGCGCCGGACTGTTGTGCGGGAGGTCGAGGGTTCAAGCCCCGGCCGGACCAACACTCAGGGTCTTAAAATAACTGAGGAGAATTTGCTACCTTTCTATAACATCAAGAAATGGATAGATATTCTAGGCTTCTCGGATAAGGACGAATAAACCTTAGGCCCCTTCTCTTGCAGGGTGTTAGGGGTAGGAGACGTTAATTTCCCACGCGCGGGATTACTGTGTGGTGGATNCTATCCCAGTATTTATCTATCTATCTATCTCTATCTATCTATCTCTATCTCTCTACCTATCCCAGTATTTATCTATCTATCTATCTCTATCTATCTATCTATCCCAGTATTTATCTATCTATCTATCTCTATCTATCTATCTCTATCTCTCTACCTATCCCAGTATTTATCTATCTATCTATCTCTATCTATCTATCTATCTATCTATCTATCTGACAAATGAATAAAGGGGGTAAGTTTCTAAAGAAACTGTGGTGCTGCGTCGGTGGGGGTAACAAGGTAATTTGGTAATATCAACTAAGTTGAAATTGTAAATTGGCCACCGTAAAGGGTTAGCTTTTTAACTCTTCGCGGTGGCCAATTTACAATTTCAACTCAGTTGATATTACCAAAATATCTATCTATCTGTTTGATTCTGATATGTATTTTGGTTGTGAGTTTTTTAAAGCCATAGGAAAACAGAATGAATATACCATACTACAGCCTTATAATAATATGGGGAATTGTGAATACAGAGTTCCACTGTATGGTATTGTGACTATAATACTAACGTTTCAAGTAGTACTTGGAGAATTGGACTTGACGAATTAGTGTTGGTCATGAATTTTGATTGTTCGTAGTTTCCAAGGGGATAGTGAGTTTGATGCATCCTCGTGGATTGTTGCCATAGAGACAGCCATTCAGATAGGACTTGGTGATACAACGGTGAGAGAAATGTCTCTTATAGAACTCTTTGTAGCACGCTAGGATCTTGGGTCCACCAATAAGCCGCAAAACTCTGGGCAAGTCGACCGGGGGCTTTAACATACCTTTAACATAACGGGACTCTGGGACTCCGTCAGAGACAGAAGAAGGCTAAGGTGTGACTAGTCATACAAAATGGGAGGGGGCTCTCTAAATTACTATGGTTAATAAGTTGTAGCATTCCGGACATAAGGGCAACTGATTTGAAGGTTTCATCAGAGGGTTTCATTTTATGCATTCAAAGTAGGTGACTAAGGGTTGGTTTCAATCTGGCGGCAGCAGCCTGCTGCCCCACCACATATAGTGTCTGTATAAATCCTTTGATCACCGGTAACAGAGGAGAGTCTGATGATGCCAACGAGGATTTTAGAATAACTACTTTTGAGGGTTTGTCACTAGCACTTTTTTTTTATATATATATATTTCCCTATGTAGATTCGTGAAAAAGTTTGGGAGAATCCCAGTAACCGATTCTGTGCAGACTGTGGAATGAAAGGTAAGGTTAAATATATTTCTTTTTATGCTTTTTGGTGGCTTGTGTGAAGGAACGATCCTTGAAATCCTAATCTGCTGTCATGAGACTCAGTGACTAAGCATGTGAAGCACTATTGGGGAGGTCAGCCGGTCGACTCTCCTTGGAAGAAATAATTTGGATATATCAACAAAGTTGAAGTGGTAAATTGGCCACCGTAACGATTCCAAAACCTGACGTTTCGAGCGTTAGCCCTTCGTCGGAGCGAATAGAGGAATTGTGGGTTTTGTGTGCTTTTAAAGGCAGAAAATGGAGCTACGTTATTGGTGGGAGCATGGCAACGAGAAAAGCACGAATAAATTAGTGGAATGAAAAGCGTTCGTTGATCCCTGTCGGATTTAGACTGCCGGCGTTATGAATTACTTTTGACATTTTAATGTAAATCATCGTAATTGGGGATTAGATCAATGTTCTCCTGTTGTTATTTTACCCTCTGGTACTGATAGACGTAGGAAATATCATCGGGCGTCTTTCCATACTACATTCATTTTGAATCGAACTGATTTTAATTGTTTCTCTGACAGGCTTCTCAGAGTGCTCCCGTCGAAGTAGTTTATGAAAAAGAGGGATTCTTGCAGAAGAAAGAAGGAGTAAGTTTTAGGCGCTCTGATACTAAAGACGAGGTGACAAGCGGACGTGCAAAGAGTGGAAAGTGAAAGCTGAGCTTGCAGTTGTTAGGGAAATAGTTGTGTCGTTTTGCATTCCAGTCTCTTTGTGCTCCCACGAACAGTCGCCAACACCATATTCAGCCTCAATATTTTATTTAAGATCAGATCTCCTCACCAAGGCCAGTAACGTTCGCTTTTGACTAATATGCTGACATCTGCGATTTCATATTCTGTTGTAGAGCTGGAGAAAAAGGTGGTTCTTATTGAAAGACAGACACCTAAAGTATGCTAGAGGGGTGAGTGGAATTGTTATCCTTGGTTAGTTTCTGGAGTGTGAGAAAATAGAACTTTGTATTGTTTTGTTTGAATAATGAATCGATTTTACTCATACTGCTTGCTTCATTGTTGGCAGCCGCATGACAAGGACGATCTTGTTACGATTGACCTTAGAACAGTGACGTCACTGGTGAGATCTCCTAAGGGAGAGCTGTTGCAACTGGACATTGTTACTCTCGACAAGTAAGAAGAGTTTTGTATTAAATGTGTCCGTTAATTGCCTGCAGGTCCTTATCTGAAAGAACTTTACTCGCAAAAGCGTGCTAGTAATCTAAGAAACGTGAAAACGAAAGCTAAAAATTGATGATAAATGGAGGTCCCGTCTCCTGCAGGGTTAGTTGTAGGAGACGTTAATTTCCCTCGCGCGAGTATACTGTGTGATGGATGTTCTCCCCTGGGGTGGGTTGGGTGGGTGCTTACAGGGCCGTTCTGAAAACCACTTCTGTGAGAACGCACCCTGTCTAAAAATTATCTATCTATCTATCTATCTATCTATCTATCTATCTATCTATCTATCTATCTGTCTGTCTGTCTGTCTGTCT